TCTTTATGTAAGTCTTCATACTCATTTGTTTAATTGTTGCATTGTCACATTTGTCTGTGCCACTGTTCACTGGTGAGTCTTTCTGATTGTTTTTCTTTTTTTAGTTCTGAGTTTCAGTCTGTATCATTTACAAATGACCACAAGTTCCTTTTTAATAAATAGTACTGTCCTTCCCCTTTTCAGCTCTGGATTGTTTCATAAATCAAACCTCTTCTCTCTTGCAGTTGCTAAAGTCACTATTATACGAGTTTCTTTCCAAATCAAGCGTTGGATTATCTTTGCCTAGGTTTTGCTCAGAGTAAGTGTATATCTTTTAATTTTCCATTACTTAAACATTTTTTGTGTATTTTACTGTACTGCAGCCATTGTTTATTTCACGTTTGCTGCATCCTCAGAGCACATCATGGTATTAGTGCATTTGAGTATGCATAAAAAGGTAGAACTATTAATAGATAGATAATAGTCATGAAAAAACCCTTGCTTCTTTAATTATTTGTTCTAAAGGTATATTGATAAGAGCATATACAAAAAAGAGCTGTTTGAATTATTGTTCTTCATGGGTGTGTATATATATAATCTGAAAATATGTTTCTAGGAGGACACTAAGAGTTCGATGGCAGCTCTGTCTGAGAATGTGTTGACAGTCCACATGTTACTGAGTGTCCTATTTCTTCCAGGTGAGCTGTTTGTTAAAATAATTTAATGTGAAGTTGACAAATGTATCATTTAAAGTCTGAAATATTTTATCCTGATATTTTATCCTCATTAAACACGCTATAGCTGAACTAAAGGTTTCTAGATAGATTTTTTTTCCCTACATATCATTATTTATTCTAAGTCTGTCTTTGCAGTTGCTGTGGGTGGTTGCCCCAATCCAGTCCTCATTGTTCAAACACCTGGGCAGATTGAAGCTCTGAGTGGGTCTTGCTTACTAATCCCCTGTAGCTATAATTCATCGGATGAAGGATATAACAAGACCAGAGCTATTTATGGAATTTGGCTGAAAGCTACAACAAATGTCAATGCTGTTATTTTTAACAGCAGTTGGTCAGAGAAAACCTCTTCACTGAAGATGATTGGAAACCTACACGAGAAAAACTGCACCACTCTGTTCTCTGATTTAAATACAAGCCATAAAGACAAATACTTCCTTCGAATTCAGAACTGGCCGTTCAGAGCAACAGCTGTATGTCATCCTCTTCATTTGTCAGTAAGAGGTGAGAGAGAAAGCTTTTGTTGTATTATACAATAATATTTAGGGAAAACTAAAGTTTAAAATTAATTCGCATCCCTGAAGGTTTTATATTATTTTTTGTCAAAAAATTGGACTCATCCTTATTGGTATTACAAAAACAAAAACCCGTATTATAATAACTGACCATATTTTAGCATATTTCCACTCATTATTTAAAGGGGAATGCCGTTTTTTTTTTTTTACATTGGCCCCTTGATTTTACGTTATTACATCATGTTCTACTCACCCATATGAGTTTTGTGTCATTTGGAGCTGTTCTGAAGATATTCCGTTAGGTTATATCCAGGTAACGTCCTCCTATGGGCAACGACTTGAAGGCACAAACTGAACTGTTCATAATTAATTCTTTATGGTACGCCAGCATTCATAACATGTAGGTGAATCACTGTCCCCCAGACATCCGCTGTTATATTTTTGATATTTATATCTTTTAAAAACAAAGCGCCGCGTGTATGACGTCATCCGTGCGTGCCGGCTCCCATTCCTTCATCCTGTCCACTGAACTGCTGATAGTTTTACTCACATGCCTGGAAGATGTCTAGTACTAGTACTACCACAGACTCTGGCTTAGCTGTTCTTAAACTTAGTGTATGTACATTTATGCTATATGCACTCAGAAAGGTTCTTAGGAGCCAGTGGAGGTCAGACCAAAATAAAAACGGCTCCCGTTTTAATTCATTTTCTCCATACATTTTACAATGTTGCAGAATTATTAACCAAAAAAAAAAAAATCTATTGCATTATTTTATATATTCTATCTAGTCATCATGCCCAAGATCGCAATACTAAGAACTGTAAAGTGAGCATTCATATTTCTAATGTTTGGAAAAAGTGAAATATATTTGACAACTGTTGAGTAATGCTTATTGTAAATATTATTTTTCTAGCTTTGCTAACTGTCTGTCTGATGTAATCTCCCAGATTCTCCCTGGACTCCCAGCATTAATATCCCTGTTGGTGATCTGAAGGAGCATCAGTCTGTCACTATAAGCTGCTCAGCTNTCTTTATGTAAGTCTTCATACTCATTTGTTTAATTGTTGCATTGTCACATTTGTCTGTGCCACTGTTCACTGGTGAGTCTTTCTGATTGTTTTTCTTTTTTTAGTTCTGAGTTTCAGTCTGTATCATTTACAAATGACCACAAGTTCCTTTTTAATAAATAGTACTGTCCTTCCCCTTTTCAGCTCTGGATTGTTTCATAAATCAAACCTCTTCTCTCTTGCAGTTGCTAAAGTCACTATTATACGAGTTTCTTTCCAAATCAAGCGTTGGATTATCTTTGCCTAGGTTTTGCTCAGAGTAAGTGTATATCTTTTAATTTTCCATTACTTAAACATTTTTTGTGTATTTTACTGTACTGCAGCCATTGTTTATTTCACGTTTGCTGCATCCTCAGAGCACATCATGGTATTAGTGCATTTGAGTATGCATAAAAAGGTAGAACTATTAATAGATAGATAATAGTCATGAAAAAACCCTTGCTTCTTTAATTATTTGTTCTAAAGGTATATTGATAAGAGCATATACAAAAAAGAGCTGTTTGAATTATTGTTCTTCATGGGTGTGTATATATATAATCTGAAAATATGTTTCTAGGAGGACACTAAGAGTTCGATGGCAGCTCTGTCTGAGAATGTGTTGACAGTCCACATGTTACTGAGTGTCCTATTTCTTCCAGGTGAGCTGTTTGTTAAAATAATTTAATGTGAAGTTGACAAATGTATCATTTAAAGTCTGAAATATTTTATCCTGATATTTTATCCTCATTAAACACGCTATAGCTGAACTAAAGGTTTCTAGATAGATTTTTTTTCCCTACATATCATTATTTATTCTAAGTCTGTCTTTGCAGTTGCTGTGGGTGGTTGCCCCAATCCAGTCCTCATTGTTCAAACACCTGGGCAGATTGAAGCTCTGAGTGGGTCTTGCTTACTAATCCCCTGTAGCTATAATTCAACGGATGAAAGATATAGCAAGACCAGAGCTATTTATGGAATTTGGCTGAAAGGTACAACAACGGTCAATGCCACCACTGTTATTTTTAACAGCAGTTGGTCAGAGAACACCTCTTTACTGAAGATGATTGGTAACCTGCATGAGAAAAACTGCACCACTCTGTTCTCTGATTTAAATACAAGTCACACGGACAAATACTTCCTCCGAATTCAGAACTGGCCGTTCAGAGCAACGGCTGTATGTCATCCTCTTCATTTGTCAGTAAGAGGTGAGAGAGAAAGCTTTTGTTGTATTATACAATAATATTTAGGTAAAACTAAACTTTAAAAATAATCCTCATCCCTGAAGGATTTATATTAATTTTTGTCAAAAAACTGAGGACTCATCCTTATTGGTATTACAAAAACAAAAACCCGTATTATAATAACTGACCATACTTTAGCATATTTCCACTCATTATTTAAAGGAAAACGCCGTGTTTTTTTTTACATTGGCCCCTTGATTTTACGTTATTACATCATGTTCTACTCACCCATATGAGTTTTGTGTCATTTGGAGCTGTTCTGAAGATATTCCGTTAGGTGATATCCAGGTAATGTCCTCCTATGGGCAACGACTTGAAGACACAAACTGAACTGTTCATAATTTATTCTTTATGGTATGGCAACATTCATAACATGTAGGTGAATCACTTTCCCCGGGAAATCCACGGTTATATTTTTTTATATTTATATCTTTTAAAAACAAAGTGGCGTGTGTAAGACGTCATCCATGCGTGCCGGCTACCATTCATTAATCTTGTCCGCTGAACTGCAGCTAGTTTTCCTCACATGCCTGGAAGATGTCTAGTGCTACTACCACAGATGATCTCCCTGTCAAAATGGAATTGAACGATTCAGATTAGCTAGCCGAATGAATAGAAGGGGTAGAATATAGCCGCCTGTTGCCCGGGCTGCCTGTTACGACTCCGGTCCGCATGCTCGGATGACGTCATACATACACGCTCCGCTTTGTTTTAAAACATATAAATATAAAAAATATCACCGCAGATGTCTGGGGGACAGTGACTCGCCTACATGTTATGAATGTTGGCGTACCTTAAAGAATTAATTATGAACAGTTCAGTTTGTGCCTTCAAGTTGTTGCCCATAGGAAGACGTTACTTGGATATAACGGAATATCTTCAGAAAAGCTCCAAATGACACAAAACTTATATGGGTGAGTAGAACATGATGTAATAACGTAAAATCAAGGACCAAATGAACCGGCGTTCTCCTTTAATAACTATATCAGCAATAATTTTTGTGTTTAAAAATGGATCCTCATTTTTAGCTTATTTCACAGATTCTCTAGATTAAGGTTGAGACTCTGGCTTAGCTGTTTTTAAACTTAGGGTACAGTATGTGAATTTATGTTATACGCAGTCAGAAAAGCTCTTAGGAGCCAGTGGAGGTCAGACCAAAATAAAAACGGCTCCCGTTTTAATTCATTTTCTCCATACATTTTACAATGTGGCAGAATTATCAACCAAAAAACAAAAACAAAAAAACATCTATTGCATTATTTCATATATTCTATCTAGTCATCATGCCCAAGATCATAATACTAAGAACTGCAATGCGAGCATCCATATTTCTAATGTTTGGAAAAAGTGAAATATATTTGACAACTGTTGAGTAATGCTTATTGTAAATATTATTTTTCTAGCTTTGTAAACTGTCTGTCTGATGTAATCTCCCAGATTCTCCTTGGAGTCCCAGCATTAATATCCCTGTTGGTGATCTGAAGGAGCATCAGTCTGTCACTATAAGCTGCTCAGCTGTGACTCCCTGTC